TGAGAAGACAAGTTGGAAGATTGATGGAGATCGTTTTGTTGGGATGTGATCCCAACTTAATAGGAACAGCAGTACTCTCGATATAAGAGACTATCCCATCTTGTTCTTGGTCAAAATGCCACGGAAGATAATAAGAGACTGTCCTATATGTGTACATGAAAAAACATCTTTAATAGCTTCTTCAAGAGGGCCCATTTGGAAGTGCTTCATCTTTGATTAAGCTACTTTCACCGATGAAAAAGATACCAAAACTGTCACTTAAAAACCGTCTTCTTAGCTGAATGAAAACTTGCTGAGGCTTTCTGGGTTTTTTTTATTGAATATATACTAGTGGAGATTCGTGTGATGTATGAAATTTATTAACTGAAAACTAAACAATAAAAATGATTATTTATTAAAATACCTTTTATAGTTTTATAAATTTATTAAAATTTCTAAATTTTTCTTTTATCAAATATAGATTCTAAGCTTTTCCACGTCGGACCTGCCTTGCAAAGCCATTAGCCATTGTGTGACATCCTTGCATTGAATGCTCAATAAAAACACAATTCAATGAAAGCTTCAGCCTTCCAAATGGGCACTGAGGCTGAATAATATGTATTGGTTAATGGTCATTGTCCCCTGTTTACAATAATCATTTCCTATAACACATGTGTTTACACAAAAAATTAAAACAAGGAAGGAAACATGGGGCATGACCACTAATGATCAAACATATAACAAATAAAATCTAGAGTGTGCATTTTTTTAATGAACTGGTTAAATGTTACGGCGACATTATCACTCCATACAGTATTTAGGATGAAAAGGAAAAATAAAAAGAAGAAATCATGTTTAAGGAAGCTTCCTAAGTTGACTTGACCAGAAAATCTTTTAAAAAAGGGAAAATCTCTGATACTGAAATGAAAATAATCAATCAAACCATTCTCGAGAAGTGGCTGTAAATTTTTTAGGCATCATTTCTTTCGGGTATCATAGTGAAACCCTTTAAAAAAACGTCATAGATCAATAACCTGGTATAAAAAAAAAGCCATAGACAATTAAACTTACTCATGAGCTAGGTTTAGCGTTTGCCAAATTCAAATGGGCCTGACCCAAACAGTGTAAAATATTCGTGGGCTGAATTTGAAGCCCAACCCATGACTGATCAATTCAGCTCAAAATTCTTTAATCCCACCGTATAGGGAGTGAATCCCGATCGTGAATTATTTATAGGGGGCTACTAGTAAATTGTGGTTAATTGTAATTCAAAATTCTACGATGAACTGCAAGTATTTTTCCCTATTTAATAAACCAATGATGAATTCATAGGCCCCGCTAAAAGATGTGGAATCCCATATATTTAATACTGACGTGAAACCTTATTGTTGGTTCTATAGCCCGCCCACTGAACAGCAACAGCATTATGCTAAACCTTTGCTAAAATGCAATTTTACGGAGGATTGACACTAGCAACGGGCATCACAATCGCTGAACAAATAACACTCAGTCCCGATTACTAAGGCTTGGGTTGGGGGTGGGGCCCAGAATAGTAAAAGATGGGATTTTATTTTATGAAAGGTTTCCGAAATCTTAATCSTGAGAGCTACACACACTAACATACCCTTCTTTTTTAATTACCAGCTGAGCTTGTTGATACTTTATATAACAATACACATGTTAAAAGACAAAAACACCCCCTTATATTTTAAGGGATGTATTAAGCACCAGTGTGTTTTTTGCCTTTTCAACCAGACATCCAGGGACATCCCTTGTTTTCTTATGTAATAAAAAGGCGATGTCATCACAACCGGGCGGGTTGCAGCCCGGTCCTGGGACAATCCGCCCAACCCACCAGTATGGCAGTATCTTCCTTTAATAAGTGACCAACTTCTTATTTGGACGGGTGATGACTGATAAAAGGAAGGACAAATTATACACCACCACCCTGTACTTAGGGGTAAGTGACAGTTGGACACTTGACCTCTGCTTTACAATAGACTCCTTTTTATCTCTTCAACAATTTTAAAACCCCAAATTTACCCTCGTCCTATCTTATGAAACATTCGTGCTTGTGACTATATTTTTCTTTGTTTTACTAAAAAATAAGATTATATTTTTCTTTTAATTCTAAGTCTTATATGTTTCTCTCTACTTTTTTTTCAACAAATCTCATCTTGAATATGGCTCGAGAATGATGAATTCATCTATTACCAAAGAGAGAGAGAGAGAGAGAGAATGATGTATTCATCAATACTTTGAGAACAATTTATATTTAAAAAACATCAATGTGATGCAATGTGTTAAAAAATGCCTACTTTACATTCATTTTTCTTAACTGAATTGGTTGTGGTTGAGCTTAAATAGCATTGTATTTATTTTTTAAATTTTAAATAATTACAAAATTCTAAATGGGTTGAAAAGCAATGTTTGGTTGAAAAATTTATCCTTTTTTGGATTTTTTTAATTTTTTAAATCCATGTCATTTTCGAAACTACGATTTAGAAACTCTTATTTCCCCGAAAAATATTCCTAAAATCTCTATCTCTCCTACATGTTCTAATAACGTAAATAATCTAATATCCTAAAATTTCTCCTAAACAACCTCCCTCACTATCCCCAACTTTCTCCTAAGTTATATTTAATTTAGTAGAGAGTTGATCTCCTAAATTATCTCTAATTCTTATTTACCTTAGAGAGTTTGAATTAAAAAATTTAAGAATTATTTAAATATTCTTACAAAATTATATAACAACTTTTAATTATTTATTAAAAGGACAAAAATAATTATAATCAATTTAACAATATTCATATTATTAATAATTATATATTTTTACAAAACTCATCACGAAATTACATACAAACAATATAAATTATGATTTTCTGGATAATTCAATCTAAATGTTATTCAAATAATAAAAATCTGACATTAAAAATGAAATATTATTTAAATATTTAAATATCTAAATATCTTAAATAACAAAATATTCAAATTAATATTTTAAATCAATTAATAATATATTTTAAATAATTAGAATAACTTTTGATTATAATAAATAAATTAAGATTTTAAATATTTAGTTATTTGTTTTAAATAACGAAATACTTAACATAACTATCTTTTAAATAGTTAAAATAACAAAAATTATGTATTCATAGTACTATGATTTTATGGATTATTAAATTCAATAAGTAATTAATATTTAATAATATTCATATTATTAGTAATTATATATTTTTACAAAATTCATCACAAAATTATGTACAAACAGTATAAGTTATGTTTTCTAGATTATTCAGTCCAAATGTTATTCGAATAATAAAAATATAGCATAAAAATAAAATATTATTTAAATATTTCAATAACTAAATATCTTAAATTACAAAATATTAAAAACAATATTTTAAATCAATTAATAATATGTTTTAAATAGTTATTGAGTAAATTTCAATTATAATAAATAGATTAAGATGTTAAATATTTAGTTAAATAACTAAATATTTTAAATAATGGAATATTTAACATAATTAGATTTCAAATAATTAAAATAACAAAATTTTGTATTAATAGTACTGTAATTTTATGGATTATTAAATTCAACAAGTAAATAATAATTTAAAATTTAAATAATGATATTATTTCAATAAATAAATAATATTGTAAATAACTAATTTCATTTATACCAATTAATAATTATAGAAAATAACTTTAAAAAATATTGTTTATTAATAATAATTTTAAAAACTTAATCTTTATTTATTATATATTTATCTAAACTAAAATTATTATTTATTGTTTTTTGTGATAAATATATTTTCAATAATTATGTATCAATCTATTTTTGTTCTTTTTATTTAATAAAAAAATTTCAATAATTATTAGAGTTTAAACTTTGTTGTTTAGCTTTTTAAATTTAATTATTGGAGATTAAACTGTTGTTCACGGATTGGTTCAGTTCAGTTGTAGGAGTTTAATGTAGGTGCCAACTCGGAATTGATGCCAATTCTGAGGCGAATATGGTTGTTATAGGTGGAACTGATTATAAATTTAAATTATTGTAGGTCTGCAGTTCAAATCAGAGTTCTGAGGTGGACTGCAGTGCAAAAATCCCTAACAGGTATGGGAAATTACGGAAACCTAGAAGCTCAGAGGGCCATTTGCAACAAAACAAAATTCGGGGACTAAATGTGATCACCCCAAAGAATTGGGTGGCTAAATGTAAATTTTCCCTAAAAGGAATTTATCTTCAAGGCAGCCCAGATTGGAAAGAAAATCCTTCATTAGTCCAATAATGTATCCAGCTCAACACCCTAACCAACCAGGTGTAAAAGGTGGCTCACTTTACCACGAAACTTATTTTTTCCCCACTTTTTTAGGATTAAAGTTCTTCTCGTATCGTACCCGAATAAGAACACTCCGGACTCCGGACTCCGGAGCCATTTCAACGTAGAGAACATACTACGACCAATCATATCATTGCATCATCACGGTCAACCATCCAACGGTTTCCAGCCCATCAATACTTTAACTGCCGCATCACGTAATCCATCCTTTACCTAAATAACCATCACGTGCAAATGGCAGGACTCTCACGTGTTCCCATCAGGGGCATATTCCATCCAGAGCAACGCTTAGGTTCCACGCCTTTTTTTCTCGCATCGCTTGCAGGCGCATCACATGCCATGCATTCGGGACATGGTAACAGTTTGATATAGTGGGTCCAGAGGCTTGATTCAGATTTGTGGTGTAAGATGCACTTGTAAGCCGTGAAAAGGAAAAGGAAATGTATAATTGTCATTTCACCCTCCACTGAACCCGGGTGGTTCCTCTCTGTTTCCCTCCAAAACGAAAAAAAAAAAAATCATGAAGCTGACATTTTCAAGTTATTTAACCAACAGCTAATATACTCCAATTGTCATGCGTTACCGTAATTAACCTCCATCACCACGTTAATGAAAACCTAATTCCATGATTATCCTCCAAATCACCACTTTAATCAAAACCTAGAAAAACCCTTCTCTCTCGTTACCGGGCAGAGAGAGAGAGAGAGATAGGGAGAGAGATAGAGAGTGAGAGAGAGCAAGAGCGCCTCCATCGATTCTCTTCATTCTCTCTCTCGTTTCATTCTGCAAACGCAAACCTTAACTCGACAGTGGCTGCCATGGACTCTGATTCAACTCAGTTCCAACAAGCCCAACTGGCTGCCATCCTCGGCCACGACTTGGCTCCCTTCGAAACCCTAATATCTCATCTCATGTCATCTGTCAATGAACAACGCTCCCAGGCAGAAACAATTTTCAATCTCTGCAAGCAGAACCACCCTGACGCGCTGTCTCTTAAACTCGCTCACCTTCTCCAGTCATCTCCTCATGTCGAGCTCCGAGCGATGGCAGCGATTCTTCTCCGAAAGCAGCTCACTCGCGATGACTCGTATATCTGGCCTCGACTGTCGCCGACGACCCAAGCGCAGCTCAAATCTCATCTTCTCGTCTGCGTTCAACGGGAGGATGCCAAGACAATATCGAAGAAGCTCTGCGACACAGTATCAGAGCTCGCGTCGGGGATTCTGCCCGATGGCGCGTGGCCGGAGCTTCTCCCATTTATGTTCCAGTGCGTCACTTCTGATTCGCCTCGGCTTCAAGAATCCGCTCTCTTGATGTTTGCTCAGTTGTCACAGTACATCGGGGAAACCCTAATTCCTCACGTTAACACTCTTCATTCGGTGTTCTTGCGGTGCCTGGCTTCATCTTCGAGCTCCGATGTACGGATCGCCGCGCTCGGTGCGGCGATTAATTTTATTCAGTGCTTGTCTAGTGCATCGGACCGGGATCGCTTTCAAGACTTGTTACCTGCGATGATGCAGACACTGACAGAGGCATTGAATTGCGGTCAAGAGTCGACGGCGCAAGAAGCACTTGAGCTTTTGATTGAGTTGGCTGGGACAGAGCCAAAGTTCTTGAGGAGGCAGCTGGTGGATGTGGTTGGTTCGATGCTGCAGATAGCGGAAGCAGAATCTCTGGAGGAGGGGACGCGGCATCTAGCGATTGAGTTCGTAATCACGCTTGCTGAGGCGAGGGAGAGAGCGCCGGGGATGATGCGGAAGTTGCCGCAATTTATTCATAGATTGTTTGGGATCTTGATGAAGATGCTTCTGGATATTGAGGATGATCCTGCATGGCACAATGCTGAGAGCGAGGATGAAGATGCTGGGGAGACTAGCAACTATAGTGTTGCCCAGGAGTGTTTGGATCGGCTTTCTATTTCTTTGGGTGGTAATACAATTGTTCCAGTTGCTTCAGAACTGCTGCCGGTATTCCTTGCAGCTCCGGAGTGGCAGAAGCATCATGCAGCACTTATTGCGCTTGCTCAGATTGCAGAGGGATGCTCAAAGGTACTGTTTTTTTTTTTCTTGACCAATTGATCAATGGTACTGTTACGTACAAATTTTGATACTTGACTGTTAATTCTTGAGTACTTCTTAAGCTTATATTTCCTCGTTCGTTATTTTTATCATATTTCTGTTTTTTATGTGGGGAGAGTGGTTGGTTAATTGGTTTCAGCTTAATTTCAAAAGCAATATCTAACTAAGAACTGTTTATGATCCTTTCTTGCTCAATGTTATTTTTTTTTTCATTTGTACTTCCTGTCTTGATACAGGTAATGCTAAAGAATCTTGAACAAGTGGTAAATATGGTTTTGAACTCGTTCCACGATCCGCATCCTCGCGTGCGGTGGGCAGCTATTAATGCAATCGGACAATTATCTACGGATTTGGGCCCGGAGTTACAAGTTCAATACCATCAACGGGTGTTACCTGCTTTAGCAGCTGCTATGGATGATTTCCAGAATCCCCGGGTGCAGGTTAGTTGATGGCTTAGGTTTGTATGATATCCGATCTAGTGTCTGTCACAACGCATTTACAGAAATTATTTCCCCCCTCTCCACACTGACGGTTTGCTAACAATTAGAGCCAATCATTTAAGTGGGTTTTCGTGCAAGTAAGCATGGTATTTCTACTTCTATTCTCGAATACTTCTTACTGGGTGATAATGTTTGTCTTTTCATTTTCTAACTATGCATTATTACAACCAACTATAGCATCCAATAAAAATTGCAATAGGTTTTAAGCTGTATCTGTTCTAATAATTTCTATTATTCTCGTGAACAGTTATACAACTTGTATTGTGTGATTGTGGTAAGGACTATGACATGCTTTAGTTAAGACAAGGACACAGTGTATCTCCATCGGGGATCCAGCAATAGATCTAGCAAATACGCAACTTGTAGATCCATAACCAGTTTCTGGTATCTATTTCTATCTAATATTGTTTCAGCCAGGAGGTTTTTAAGCATCAAATGGTCTTCTTTTCTTAATTATTTGTTTTTCTTTTCCCTTCTGAATTTAATTAACTCCATGATGCACTTTATACTAAATCCCCATCTGGAACCCCAAATGCATTTGCTGGTGAGAAAATAGAATCAACAATAGAGAACAGGGTATAGGTAGCTATAGTGTTGGATGTTAATACCAGTTGCTTATTTTGGTATTATCATTAAGGGTGGATAGCAGCTGTACTTCTACAAGTTTAAACTGGATTTTTTTTGCCATTAGATGTAACCTTAAGGTGATTTATCTCAGTGTTGCATATTTTGGTCACTAGATTAATTGAGGTTCTCTTACCAATATGGTTTTCGGATTATGGTAGGTAGACTATATAAGCATTTTTTTGGATCAATCATTGGAAATGGAAGTGAATTTCACCCAGTGATTTAAAAGGCACGCCTCAGGTGAGGCGCATTTTGGGGTATGCGCCTCGCCTAGGTCCTAGGCACACCTCTTTCAAAAGGCGCACGCCTTTTTAAAATTTTGCGCTTTTGCTTTTTTTTTGAGTCTAAAGGCTGGGTTGGGGGCTCCGCCCCCAGACCCCTGACCACTCCCTCGGACCCACAACCTCCGAGAACCCCCTATTTGCTTATGTTGTTCATTCATTCATTGCAATAAAATATCTTCTTAAAAGGCAATGAAAGTTGTAAAATCATTATTTTTTATGTGAGAAATAAGAATTTCAGACCCTAACATAGACTTGTTCGGGCTTGCCTCGAGGGGCGTGCTACAAAGGCAACTCATAGAATCAAGAATGCAATATGTTTTACATCACATTAACTACTTGAAGCAATGTAATTAAGGAAAAAAAGAGATTGTGGGTTTTATATGCTTGAAAATGCTTTATATGTTTGCTATTTTTTTTTTAATTTTCATTTGAATATGCTTTACATGTTATGTTTATGTATTTTAATTTTAGATAATAGGTTTTTTAAATCATTTATTTTAAAATTTAAGCTTATATTTTTATTAACATTATGTTAAATATTTTTTAATATTTTTTGCATTTTTTTAATATTTTTGGCATTTTTGCAATTTTCTGACTTGTTTTTATTTTTTAGCTTTTTTTGGTAATTTTGCACCTTTCTTAAAAAGGCGTGCGCCTCACCTTGCGCCTCAGGCGTAAATTGGCCCTTGTGCTTTTTTTGCGCCTTGTGCTTTTAAAACACTGATTCCACCCAAGAGGGGCATTCTGAAAACATTTATACCTGAGAGTTTCAGACTTTCAGGCCCACATAAATAATGAATATCAAATGCCTATTTTCTACCCATCCCTTATGTTTTGGAGCACCAATAGGTGGTAGCTGAAGATAGTTCTAGGGGTGGATTCCATTTCTACCACGGAATTCTCCTAATCCATATGTAGCCTTTAGTTCTCTTATGTTGCAATAACTATTTCTGGTATATATCAAGGAATCCATAGCCAGGGGCCATTGCTTGGTTCAATAGTAAAATTTTGGGTCGACAAGTATGGTAATCCAGTCCACCTTTCCCATGACCCCATATAGCTGATACCAACATTAGGCATCATCACATCCTGCAACTCTGCGTCAAATACCTACTAACGTTTTTTGAGTTGTATCTCAAGTCAAAGTTTTGTTATTGAGCTTCACAGTTTAGTGCTGAAATGTGGGTGTGAGTGGTTGGCCTAGTCAACTGATGTTATTAGTTGGCCTAGTGATAAAATTCATTATTTTTTCTGTTTTAAGATGTGTTCTTTCTTTCTCTTTTTCTTTAAACATTTTTGTTGCTTTGCTTTTTTTTTTCCAATTTTCAATAAGTAATACTTCTAGCAGTATTTTCAACTGTAGAAAAAAAGGATTATGCATAAATGTATTGGTTGACAACAAGAAAATGATATATATTTTTTTTTAATTAGGTAAATGGAAGTGGTGATGCTAGAACTCTATCATTATCCAATCAAAGTATTATCCCCTAGCCATTTTCAAGCAGTTTCCTTTTGTATGGCAAATGTTCTAGCTAAGGCAACCATTTGATGTTTAAGAGTTGACCTGAAGGTCCTGAACTTCTGGAGTGCCTATAGAAAAAATCTTGTTTGCCTTTCAAAACACTGGCCTGATATGTATTTTGTTAAATAAACTCTGAAATTTCCATTATCATATTATTGATATATTATTTTATTTCTCAAAGATTTTTTCTTCTGCTTCAGTGGTTCATGCAATCTTTAGTTATTTCATTCCTTTTGTTCTTTAAAAATTAAAATCTTTGTTGACATTTTCTTTATTGTTTGTATTTCTATAGGCACATGCTGCTTCAGCGGTCCTGAACTTCAGTGAAAATTGTACACCAGATATCTTAACGCCTTACTTAGATGGGATTGTGAGCAAATTGCTTGTGCTTCTACAGGTATATAATTGTCAATATAATCATCCACATAGAAATACTTTCTTGCATAAATGTATAATAAAACTCTGTAGCTGGATACATTTATATTGGTAGATGTATTGCATACATTTATTATGTTATGTGTATAAACTTTCTAGGGGTGCAACTTCGGCGGGCCCAACCCAAGCCTGAACCGGCCCAGCCTGAAATTTTACATGGACTGGGCTTGGGCCCCAGAAATCGGGCTTTTCTATTTTTTGGGCCGGGTCCGGGCCTAGCCCTTAGGTAGCCCGAACCCAGCCCAACTATACACATATGTATATGTATGTTAATTATGCATACATATTTACATATATATACATATTTACCTATTTACATACATATTTTTCATACATACATAAATATGTGTACATATTTGCATAAATACATATATATGTATAATTTTAGAGTGGGTTCATTGAACAACCCAGGCCCGGCCCGGACCCGATCCCAACCTGTGTTCATCAATTTACAGTGTGGGCTGGGCTTGGGTTGGGAAAATCGGGCTTGGGCCATAAGCCCAAGTTTCCTATTCTTTGATTTCTATATGTTAGGGATTAGCTATTTATTTCTATGCCTCTTTTTCAGAATGGTAAGCAAATGGTGCAAGAGGGAGCACTGACAGCTTTGGCATCAGTTGCTGACTCATCACAGGTACTTGAAACCTTCTGTAATGGTTGACTACATATTATTGTTTGAAATTATTTGATCTGACATGGTTTGCATTTCTGTAGGAGCACTTCCAAAAATATTATGATGCTGTTATGCCTTATCTGAAAGCTATATTGATGAATGCCACTGATAAATCTAATCGAATGCTTCGTGCCAAATCCATGGAGTGCATTAGTTTGGTTGGAATGGCTGTTGGAAAAGAGAAGTTTAGGGATGATGCTAAGCAGGTGATGATTAGGATACAATCTCTCTCATGTTTGTCTGCTTTTGTAGTTGCAAATGTGGAATGTCTAAAAAGTTATTAGTTTTGCAAGTGTTACTAAATTGGCTATGGAACACGTAAGTATGGAAGTCTTCCTTGTTTGCTTTTGTTTTGTAGTAACGATAGAATTTAAGGCTCATGTTGGAAGGAGTACAAATACAAATACATAGTGTGCAAAACCTTATATTTTGTATTATTTTCCATGTATTTGTACTGTTCATTATTTGTATTTGTACTCTTTCCAATCTGAGCCTAAGTAACCCTTATCCTTTTATTCTTTCATTTGACATTTGCCTTGTTACAACCATGGTTGTCACTAATATGCACTGGACCATGGGTTCAGGAGTTAAACATTTACTAATTCAGTTGGTCTGAAAAGTAGGGGTGAGCAAAAAAAAAATCAAACTGACCTAAAAAACTGTCTGGAACCGAATAAAAAATTTGGTTAACCGTACTGGTCGGTTCGGTTTTGGTTAACCAATATAGAAAACTGGCGGTTAACCGAACCAACCGGTATACATATATTTCTATATATTATGTATATATTTATGTATATTATTTTATATAGTATGAATTAATAAACATGCATTATATATATAAGTATATATATTTATAATATATGCTATATTATTTATTATTTAAAATAATATTATATATATTTTTATAATATATATTGTAAAAATTTAAAAACTGAAAAACTGACGAATCAAACCGGTCAACTGATTGGCTTTGGTTCCTTTTCGGTTACCGGTTTTTCCAAAAACCGGTAGTACCGGTTCGGTACCCCTACTGAAAAGATAAGAAACATTCATTTGATTCAGTACTAATATACCTTTAGATGAATGTGACAATTTTAAGTGATGTCATATAATCAACCGTTTCCTTGACAGTTTCTGAGTTACAACTATGGTTGCCAATATGTACTGGACCTTTACTAATTCAGTTGGTCTGGTGTTGAATATTGATTGAAAATATAAGAGAGCATTCAATTGATTCAGTACTAATATACCTAGGTGGCAGATATCAAGGTTGAACATGACTATCCATCAGAAAACAAAAGATGAAGATGGACATGGCAAGATGTTATTTCTGATTGTTAGTCTCATATGTGGTTTGCTATGTCTTGCAAGGTTATGGATGTCCTGATGACACTTCAGGGATCTCATATGGAGACAGATGATCCAACAACAAGTTATATGCTGCAGGTGTGGTTTTATTGTATCAACGGTCTATATGATAATCTGTGCTAACTATACAAATGCTTTCCAAGTGATGGCACTATTGAACAATAAATGGTTAACTATGTTGCAGGCATGGGCTAGACTCTGCAAGTGCCTGGGGCAGGATTTCCTCCCTTACATGAGTGTTGTCATGCCCCCATTGATTCAATCTGCTCAACTTAAACCTGATGTAACCATCACTTCTGCTGATTCGGATGAAGATATTGACGAGTCTGATGATGAAAGGTTTCCCTTTAAACTAAATTATTAATATTTTATTATAGAATGGTGTATTGCTTTCTGTGATATAGGTTTAATGGTCATCTGATATTTGCTGAAGTGAATGACTTTTTATTGTATGCCATTAAGTCGATTTTGGACACCTTAATAGCTGTATGGAACCATAACCATTATAATTATGTTCTGTCAATTTAGCTCCATCAAGATTACCCAACCCTTTGGTTCAGCCCTAGTTTTTCTTAAATAAATTAATGTTTATATAATAATTTATTAAATTGAATAAAATAAATAAATAAATAAAAGTTTATTGGGATGGGAATGGTATAGGCTATCTCAAACAAGACTTGACCCATTGACAGCCCTAAATATGGGCTCAAGGGGAGAGAATAACGTTAGTAAATTATTTCCAAATAAATAAATAATTTAGTAAAATAAATAAATAAATAAATAAATGTTTATTAAAATCTTTCTCTCAATGTCACATCTCCTTTATTTTACTGATTTATTTTATTAAAATAAATAATTTATTTAATTTTATTAAATAAATTAATGTTTAGATAATATTAAAATAAATAAATGAATAAATAAAAACTGAGATAGAGAATACGAGAGAGAAAATAAGAGGGATGGCATTTTATTTATAGGAAGGCATAATCATAAATAATTGGCAAGGTAAAGAAGATGCATTTGTCTTATATGTGGCATTTCTGTAATTTTCAAATATTATAGAATCAATTATATAGGGATGGAGGTTTGTCTTGTATGTGGCATTCTTGTAATTTTTGAATGCTAGAGTAAAGAGAAGTGGGAGAGAAGATAAAGTAAATGAGAGAAGGGAGGGAGAAACATGTGTCAATAATTTAGAGCATGCCTGTCAAGGCAACAACAAATCACATGTCAACCTCAAAAGCAACGAGTCTTTCAAGATCAGCTGTTATCTAATGTTGGCTCCATTGTACATGGCTCTATTGTGAAGCTACTGGAGAACATGTTAGCTCCTCATAAATTTCAACTGCTCTTGGTTCACTTTGTTGTAGTGATTGTTTTCTGGATGTTGTGTTATCTGTTTTTGTGTCTTCTTGCTTGTATTTTTTTTCTTTGTATATGCTATTTCCAGTAATTGAAGTAATGAAGGGCAACTTGGTTGGTGAGATTTAATAGACATTAAGGTTGTGCCTACATCATAGGCCTTTTTTGTTGTTAAGATGGTTTGTTTCCTGAAAATTAAAATTTTATGGTTCAGGTGGCATGCCATGGTCAATGTTTACACAAATAATTGAATATGATATTTAAGTTGCATTTTGATGAAATCTAACTTTTGATGAACAGCCTACTGAGTTGTGTGTGGTAACTTGTTAAGTGTGGTATGTTTTTTGGGTCTTGTGAGAGTCCCATGTTCTGCTTTTGTTGCTGATTAAAAAAATGATACTTGCTTTTGTTTGCTAAGGGTATAATTCTGTTGCAGCATCGAGACCATCACCCTTGGTGACAAGAGGATAGGGATCAAGACTAGTGTCCTAGAGGAGAAAGCCACAGCCTGTAACATGCTTTGTTGCTATGCTGATGAGCTAAAAGAGGGTTTCTATCCATGGATTGATCAGGTTAGATCCAACCAATTTTCTATTTGGTTTCCCTTGTTAGCCTTTGCAATGAAAATAACATTGGTAATGAATTGTGGTTGTAATAGTACAGGTAGCTCCTACTTTGGTTCCACTTCTTAAATTTTATTTCCATGAAGAAGTTAGGAAGGCTGCTGTTTCAGGTACTAGCTAAGCCTTCAGTTTCTAATTATTCACGTATTATGTGTTCTATATTTTGACAAGATTCTTGACATGATCTACCTTTTTTTCTGTTTCCAGCCATGCCAGAGTTATTACGATCAGCTAAGTTAGCTGTAGAAAAGGGGCTAGCACAAGGACGCAATGAGTCATATATCAAACAGTTGTCTGATTATATAATACCTGCCTTGGTGGAAGCTTTACATAAGGTCATTCAATTTTTTTAATAGGTTCTTATGTGTTGATAATCTACTGCCTTGATCCAACTAAAGCCAATTTGATGTTGTCTGTCTTGTTATTGTTGAGTTCTAACTACTCTTGGATAGCAGGAGCCTGAGACAGAAATTGTTGCAAGCATGTTGGACGCTTTGAATGAATGTATACAGGTTTGACTTGTGCTTCTGATGTGGTTGAGGCTGTATGTTTTGCTTTCTTCTTTTCTTCTGGAGAAGTTGATGATGAATCTTGCGAGCACTTATGCTTCATTTCAGGTTTCAGGACCTCTCCTGGATGAAGGCCAGGTGAGAAGCATCGTGGATGAGATAAAACAGGTTTTTACAGCAAGCTCAACTAGAAAAAGAGAAAGAGCAGAGAGAGCCAAGGCAGAGGACTTTGATGCAGAGGAGGGCGAGTTGCTAAAAGAAGAAAATGAGCAAGAGGAGGAAGTATTTAATCAAGTCTGTTTTTAAAATCACTTTCTTCTTTATGTTTCCATTTTTTAATTTGCATTGTGCAATTTCCATGTTACATTAAGGAATCTAAATCTCTTTCATTGCTTTGTCGTTCATTTTGTTTTTACTCAGTTTGCCTTCTGTTCTTTTCCTGCATCCAGGTTGGCGATTGCTTGGGTACTTTGATTAAAACATTCAAGGCATCATTCTTACCATTTTTTGATGAGCTGTCGACATATATAACTCCTATGTGGGTAAGTTCACATTTAGAAAATGCACTTTATTCCTTTCGTAGGCTTACTTAATGGTTCATAATATTATAGCTGGAACTATACTTTTTATATAATGGAGAATGAAAGTTTTCTTACATGTTTATTTATGCATGCATTGCTATAACAGTTTCTTTTGTCAAGTAAAAAATTGAAAAATTACTGCACTTTTTATGTTTCCCTTGATGGTGTTTTGGTATTGCTTTTCTTTGATGCATAAGTGCCACTAATTGTACTATAATAACCCTGTAAGTGGATTTCATTATGTACCTTTGATTAATTTCTTCCTGCTTTTGCTAGTCTATGAAAATGAATTCTTTCAAGTAGATAAATTCCACTGTTACTTTATCTATCAAAAAAAATTTCCACTGTTACTGTAAACATGCAACTATTCACAATCGAAGTGCTAATCGTTGACACTGGAGTAGCTTGAACTTGTCTTTGTTATTAGCTATGGATTCAATGATTCATTTTTCTATGTTACTACTTAAAATGGCAGCTCAGTTATGAGGCTTTCACTATTGCAGTGTCTATGGTACTATTTGAATGAATTTATTGCCTTTTTCTTTTTAATTTTGTTATCTTTGGATATTCACAAGGAATTCAATTTATAGTTCAATTTTCATTAATTTGATTTTTGAGGGTTTTTTTGTGTTTTGAATTTTTTGAACATTTTATCCTCAATGAATTCAATTGAAAGGTTTAAAATACTCGCTAATTTTAGTGGCTTTATACAACATTTATAGTGTTTTGGTTTCGCTTACAAAGTTTTCATCATCAATAGGGCAAGGATAAAACAGCTGAAGAAAGAAGGATTGCCATTTGCATTTTTGTTGATGTTGCAGAGCAATGCCGAGAAGCTGCTCTTAAGTAAGCAATACCCCTTGTAAATATTTAAGTTAAGAATTCATAATCGTTTTTTTTTTTATTTTTTTGTGGCTGGTTGCATCACATTGAATTTATTCTTCTTGATGGTGGAACAGGTATTATGATACTTACCTTCCTTTCCTCTTAGAAGCCTGCAATGATGAGAATCCAGATGTTAGACAGGTTATTACTTTGACCAGGGTCTTTGGCATTTTCCTACATGTTAAGTCCTATAGATCTCATTCAGGGCTTTCTTTTTTATACACTTACAGGCTGCTGTTTATGGAATTGGTGTTTGTGCGGAGTTCGGTGGTTCTGTATTTAGACCTCTTGTTGGAGGTACCTTTATTTTTCTTCTTGCAGCTATTCAATGAATCATGCCCATTACTTTGTATACATAATTTTATTGGCTTTTGCAGAGGCTCTTTCAAGGTTAAATGTTGTGATAAGGCATCCTAATGCACTACATTCTGATAATTTAATGGCATATGACAATGCCGTTTCAGCTCTTGGGAAAATATGCCAGTTCCATCGTGACAGCATTGATGCAGCTCAGGTACTTCCATATGACACTTATTCTTCTGTGTTTTTAGTTTGACCATGTTATTATTTAAACCTTCTTGGGTGTGGGTTTTTGGACAACTAATTTGCCTTCAGAATTTATATTTTACATTACCTACTTGTATGCTTTCATAATTCCTTAGGACATTATTTGTTTAATATTTTATTTAATTTTTTACATGTTTCAAAGATAAGGACTTTTAATTTTGTTTTCTGGATTTGCTATAGTTGTTGGAACTAAGTTGGAGAGTTTTTTGAAGAAAATGTTAACAATGAGTAATAATTATATTCATATGATTTTAGTATTGTTTTTAATATAAATTTGTAGTGGCTCATCTGATTACGTATTATACATTGTTGATATGTCGGCCCAGGCATGTTATTCGTCTAGTTAAATGAGGGGTAACTCTAGAAATGTTTATTTTTTATGCAAATAATTTAGGGCATCAAAACATAATTGTTAACTGAAGTATTTTTCTGTATAATTTGTAAACTTATAGTATAATTTATATTTATCAAAAAGAACTTTAGTATAATTTGTTCTTTATTTAGCTGGCAAGGGCCATCTTAAACTTGGTTATGTTATTTTTAATAGGTTGTTCCTGCCTGGTTAAGCTGTTTGCCAATAAAAGGGGATCTTATTGAAGCAAAAATTGTGCATGATCAGCTTTGTTCAATGGTGGAAAGGTAATTTCTTGGTCTCTTATAGGTTTTGCCATATGGGACTGAAATTTCTCCCATATTCCTATGCTATTTTACCTTGTTGCATGGTTTGTTTTATTTATTATACTTCATTGGATATTGATTATGTTCCATATATTTATTTCCTTGCAGGTCTGATAGGGATCTTTTGGGTCCTAACAACCAACATCTTCCTAAAATTGTTGCAGTCTTTGCCGAGGTAATTTCTTTGGTTTTATGTTTTCCTGTTCGGTTGTTGTAACCCCATTCCTCTGCTTCTGCCTGTATGTACAACTGTAGGCTGGGTGCATCATAGGCATTGATGTGTTTCTAAGTGATATATTAGAGGTAGTTGTGAACTGCAGGATTTGCACCTTTACAAATTGTCAACGGTACTTAGCAACTGAAATGTCAAATTTTGTGATTACAACGATACTTGTTTCGTCATGTTTCCTAACAGTGTTGACATTAAAATCTAATTCCTATGTGAACAATGGGAGATATGAGGACAGGTGAACTATATATTCATAATTTCAAGCCAATTATGGATGATACAGGAAAAGTTATGCCTCTCAATTGTTCTAGATTAATCTTATTTTTGAATTTGATTATAGTTGATATGGCGATAATTATGGCTAAAAATGTGGGGTGACCTTAACTGTCCTTCAACCTTCTGGCAACAAGTATTCCTATCCAAGTAATTAACTGGGCCAAAATCTATATATACACTAGTTGGGCAATTTTATGATTTGATTTGGATTGTTAAGAGATAAAATTTAAGAGGGAAAGGAATTTGGACGAGACAGTGCCTAATTAAATATTTTGTACTAGTTTTGCTATTCAGTACTTGATATATGTACTAATGCTACATACCAACTGGGGCAACTGCCTCCTCCAGTCTTGCTATTTATAGTTGGGTTATTCGTTCCTTTTCTTACATTTTTCCTAGCCATACCTTGTATGTTTGGTCTCATAAGTGTTACAAATGATGGATTTATTTTATTGGCTATTGTAGGTTATATGTGCAGGGAAGGATCTCGCAACGGAGCAAACTGCCAGCCGGATGATTAATCTGTTGAGACAGCTTCAGCAAACATTACCACCCTCTACCTTGGCATCGACCTGGTCATCCTTGCAGCCGCAGCAACAGCTTGCGTTGCAATCTATCCTCCCATCTTAGTCTTTTGGGCCTGTGGTGGACATGTCATTGCTTCACTTGGAGATGCTTGTATGCCTGGTCAGTTTGTGTCAATTATATGTTTATTACCCATTCTTTTTCCATAATATATCCCCATCTTTTCATTGATGTGGATTTTTCTGGCAATGCGGCGTCATTGTGTTGATTGAGGGTGAAGGTTTGTGTGGGTGAATAGAGAAGTTTTGCTGTAGAATGTGTATATTACAACAATCATTCATAGTCCTGTTTTATGTCCAAAAAAAAAAGAAAGGAAAAATTATAAGATAGTAGTCAGTAGTGGGTTTGAGAGGTTCTTGTTAGTCGGTTCAGTGCACAAGGTTGAGGATTGCCAATTTGGCAATTCTTGTATCAGTTTTGGTACTTAGTTTTCTTTTCGTCTTCTGTTCTCTTATATTTTCTTCCCTGTCCTTTCTGAAAGTGGGAATCTGGACACAGTTATGAAGTTAAATTATATATTATTCCTTTCAATTTGCAATTTATTATATTGTCTCCCTTGAAAACGTTCTCCTTTGTCAGTATTATCTTCATGCAATTATTCCTTGCTGATGTTAATGCAAGGACAAGATGTAGCTTATTTTATTATAGCGTGGAAAGACGGGAGTGAATTGATCTGTTTGATGTAATAAAAGAAATTCTATGTCGCAACTCGCAAGGCTTGCAAGATGAAAGCATTGGTTATTTATGGAATTCAGTGATTTGAAACTTTCTTTAACGTTTTTTTTTGTGAGGCAGGGTCCGTTATGGCATTCATTGTTCAATACAGAATTCAGATTGCATGCAAAATTTGCCCTCTGTGTAACTGTTTGGCATTTGATAATTCATGATACAGCAGGGGATTAGGGGATTATTAATTCAAGACGGAGAAGTGAGACCACACCATGACCAACTCTCTACTATTATTTCTTGGCTATAGCGCTAAAACTATAAGATGATTGAGCTGCAATCATATTTCATAACTTCCAGGGAGTTGGGAACTTGGGATTGTAATGTAAATAGTATGACAGGCTCCGTTTCTAACGGTGGTTGCTAAAGTGGTCTGGTCTCGGCCTTACAGGAGTCCCTGTTTAATTTTGCCTTCTACACTTGAACAGAATCACAGGTTGTGTTGTAACTTGTAAGGGTGTTCTTGTATTTTCTTTGTTGTGGATTAAATTAAATATGATCGGTATGTTTAGGATAATATTATAGAAGTTATTCATGAGCTAAAGGAAATCCATTCAAATTTTCATTTCTTAGAGAGTCCGTTTTATAAATTAACGACTTTGGTCTTCGTTGCATTAATTGTCATTGTTGTTGGCGTTAATTCTAATGGTCCCCATCGCAAATAATACAAAACGCAAGGTTTTGCACTATACATATTTGTGTATATTTGTATTTGTCAACTGAGCCCATGGCTTATATTTTGTGTTGTGCAAGAGAGTAATGCCATAACCTGCGATTTGTGTGCAATATATCTTCTATTTTAGACAAGAACAAACACTTGGCAATCCATCTTTCAGCAAGTCCTTCGTATACTTGAAAATGAATGTGTTTTCATCCTAATATTATTTAATTTAGTGTTATGCACTTATGTGTAATCTACACTAGCTAAACATTGTAGTATAAATCTATTATTTTATATGTGAAGTGCAATTTTTTTAAATATTGATTCTTAATTTTTAGAAATTTGAATATTTATTGGTAAAATTATGATGTTATATACTTAGAGCTGATTGCGTATTACTTCATGTAAACTATCAAAGGATGTCTTTGTTATACTTTTATTTTTTGATATCATGCCTATTCCATCTGAGTTTTTTGGTATAAAAAAATGCCATAAATCAATGTTTTTTCTTTTTCTTTTATTTTTTTTTTTGAATTTTATGTGTACTTTCCTGTTGCTGCTGTGTTGCATCTTCCTCAATTGTATTCATGTGTTTCGTGATGGGTCTCATGAATGATGAAACTGCCTTTCCTATATTCTTTCTATACCGACCTTCTGAATCTTAGTTTGATGCTAAAAATACTCTTGTGAAAAATGGGTCAATAGTCGATTTGTGAGCATGATGCTGAGTTGATATTATGAGCCGGTCGACAACATCACAACAAAATTGCTTTTGGTCATGTCCCGTTCTGGTCATGCATGCGCTAAACATATGTGAATCCAAGGACTTGCAAAAGAGACATTTCTTTCCAACCGGAAACCTCAGGAGGGGGAGGAGAAACAAGGCTCCGTTTATCCAGAATTTAGAACTGTTTGACTCGATATATTCATTGCATTGAAGACTCTCTTTGTGTGTGTGAGAGAGAGAGGGAACTATTTTTAAGGTCAGATTCAAACCTTCGCCTACAACCAAGAGATGTATCTTGCCAATTCATACAGCTTTTAAGCCCTTTAGCCCTCCAATAGTCAAAATGTTTTTTTTTTCTTTTGAAACCACCCTCTGGTCTAGTGAATGTGACTTTTTAACCCAATTTATTTATTTATTTATTGAAGTCTATGGATTTATGTTCTATGAAAGATCCAGGAAGAACCTCACCAGGCGCTCCCCCTCGTCTCAACTCTCACCTCAAAAGGAAACGAAGAAGGGTTAGAGAAAACCCGATTGAATAAGAGAGAGAAATAATAAATAAATGAGTATGATGACGTGAGAGAAGGTTTTATCCAACGCGGCGTGCACAATGGGATATTCTGCCTTTGGACTCTCATATAAGGATCCAGGACTCCTTTGACGCCCTGTGTGAAAGCTATACATGTAGACATATTATGAAAAAACAGAATTGACACGCTAACACCTTTTTGCTTTTGAGGAAGATGTTCTCTTATAATGCCCATAGTTTCAGTACTTTTGTTGTACTAGTTATTAGTTTCAATTTATTTAGCAGGATTACGGAATGACCCAAACTTTGATGAAGTTCAATTGCATCCTAATTCTAATGCTCCTCAAAGATCAACACCAATCTCATCACCTTAAAAACTGTGATCGAACTTCCCATTTAATTAGCACAGTTTGGTTACTTATAGCTTTCTCTGATGTATTGGAATCTCTATGGCTGTGACTTTTGATGGGGTGGGACTAGGGAGCTTTTGGTTTAATGAATTAGAACCCTTTGTTCTTGATGTCATTTAGAGAAAATGGTTGATTTACAGCAAAATAATGTTAAGTGCGTTGATCTGGATAAGGCACAGGGTCAGAAGTCGTCATTGTTATTCTTTTGTTAGTCATGACTCATGAACTACCGTGAAGGGCAAAGGCAAAAACGACATTTTTGTATAGAAATAGAAACAAATTAATCAAAGGACATGATTCATGTTTGAGTTTGACACAAGCAGTGATTCTTAATCAGAAACTATATATTAAAAAAGAGAATAATAGAATAAGGTGGGATAATTAAAAGACAAAGGTTGCATAAAATAACAAGCACACACACGAAAACACCTACCTCAAGGAAACTCAGTCATAAATTCCCTTGGGCAGCCAGAGGGATGTGGGTGGATGAGGACCAGATAGCCACAATTATAATAACTAGAGAGACTCATTCCTCTTGTCTTGCTTGTTAATTAAATCAGACCCATTTCTCTCTTGTCACAATCAACTTCTATCTTGAACAGATCTCCAATGGAGCTCCACGTCCAACAACGGAAACATGAGCATGGGGAGGTTTCAGTTGGCAAAGGAAGCAGAATTAAGGGGAGAAGTAGAACTAATCCCAACAACAAGTTTGTTGGGGTGAGACAGAGGCCCTCTGGGAGATGGGTTGCAGAGATCAAGGACACAACACAGAAGATCAGGATGTGGCTCGGAACGTTTGAGACTGCAGAAGAAGCTGCCCGAGCATATGATGAGGCCGCCTGCCTGCTTCGTGGATCCAATACTCGAACCAACTTCATCACCCATGTCTCCTCCAATTCCCCTCTCGCTTCACGCATTCGGAATCTCCTCAACAACAAAAAAGCTGTCGTCAAACAACCACCTCTTCATAATCCCTCCTCCACCGAAGGAACCTCCACAGCCACAACTTATACCAGCACAGGTGGCAGTACTGGTAATGGTGACAGAGGTGGAAATTCTCCCTCCTTTGGAAAGATACATGAGACCCAGATTTGTAATGATGCATATAGACCAGATTTGAGCAACTGTAGTGGTGAAGAACACGAATTGGATTCATCAAAATCCGATCTCTCATGGGCAACTGGCTCCTCTTTTGATCAGTTCTCCTTCACCCAAGATGGGTTTGATTTTCCAATGAATGTTGGCTTGCCGGAGGCATCGGAATCAGAGGTGGCAGAATTTGAAAGGTTGAAAGTTGAAAAACAGATGTCGTCGTTCTATCCGATGAATGGGGTGCAAGAGACAGTTCATGATCTTAGTGATACTTTGTGGGATCTTCCTCCTCTCTGTCAGTTGTCTTGCTCCTTTTAATGGTTGGTCAACATCTCCTCTTTTCCTCTCCTTTGTTTCTCTTCTGAGATTGGTTACAGAAGATGCAAGAACGGGATATAGACGTTTTTTAATTTGTTCTTTGGATTAAATTTCTTACATTCCCACAACAGTTTTGAGATGGCCCCGTTTATTAGTTGAGGAAATTTTCTTGGAATTAAAATAAAAAAGCGCCCATAAAAACCTTGAAAGAATCAAAGAAACCTGTTGTAGGATGACATTGATCTCTTGCATCAAGGTCTCTTTAACATTGTTTGTAATTAGGTTAGCTGTCTGATTGTGCAGTGGTCGTTGAATTTGAAGTTCCATAATTGAAATTTGAAACCATTCTGTGTGTCCCAGTTGGTCAATGGAATGCGTCATAACTCATGAGATAGGTGGTGATCTCTACGAGGCATCCAATGGCCAGCTCTATTGTCTTGTGGTATTAAAGAATTTCTGTCACCTTCCACTGTCAAAACATATAAAGCGCCCTTACAAGTCATAAAAGGTTGCTTGTATTTGTAATTTTCAAATGGAGGAAAAAGAATAAAAGATGGTGGTCTTTCACCATAGAACCCTGCAAATTTATGCCATTAGAGAAGCCAAACAACAAGGAGATCTCTATCATCCTGTTTAATTATACTAAAATGAGATTGGGGTTAAGAGATTTGTCAGACTCTCATCAGCCAAGGGCGTATGTCAATGTAGTCTGGGTAGATGGTCAATGGGTATCTTTCCCTTTGAGGAAATACAGCTTCCAACTTATATTGTTGGAATGCAAGCTCTTTGGGTGTTGTGCCAATGGGCCCTACATGAATCCCTAATCGGGTATCCGACTTGAGGAATTGGGTGAACCAATTGAGACAGAATCAGCCATCAGGCCCGATCCCACAAACCCACCCAAGTTGCAGCTTTATTTCTAACCCCATCAATCCACTAAAGCCTTTGTGGGGCCAGAGCCACGTTACCACACAAACAAATAAACAGAAACAAAAGAAAGAGAAAAGATAATAAGAGTGTCCAATCCCCATAGAGCCTTTATCCCATATAAACAAAGAAAAAACAAAAAGAGAATCTTGCTTTACCAAAGAGATAAGCTGAAATGCATCCATGTGTTTCTCCACCTCACTATGTCTTTTCACAGTGAAGTAGCATCAACAAAGTAGCCCTTTTCCATCTTTCTCCGCCACTGTTTATTGATAAAATTCCCTCTTTACTACGATCCAACAAAAGTACAGAGCTTCCTTCTTTGACATAGGCTCTACCTAATCTCTGAATTTGGAAAATTTGCCTGTCTACATCAATTCATACCCCACCTTATATCGACTTTTTATGGACAAGTATTAACTACTCATTTAATTAAATCTTTAATTTGGGGGTTAGGGCTGTAATCGATTCAGATTCAGATCACCTTCAAATACAACCTAATTATTTAAAATTTAAATTCCAATCCTATCTAATCCCATAATTCCAATTGTATCTGGGTAAAATTTAAAATATTGATACGTTGGTAGGGGTGTATCGGGCATTTCGATACTTGTTTTTTATTTTTTTTAAAATTGATTCAAAGGAGCGATCTAGGACCCCTCCATCCCCTGAACCAGTCAGACCTCCGATACACCTATTATAGGAGCGTATTAAAAGGGTCCTGAAACGATACGTATCAACCGAGATACATAACAATACTTTGAACCTTTTATCTGGGGTCTTGGATCAGATTCGGATTATATCAGGTTTCGGGTCGGATTGAATTTTCTGACTCTCTTGACAGCCCTAGTTGTGGTGGAGCTTTCAAAGTTCCAACCACACCAATCAATTAATTGTTACTAGTTCTGCAGTTGTTGACACCTTTCATTATATTAAGTTACAAAATGTTTTTCATAGAATCATTAGCTGGTTGTAGTTATAATTAAGCAAATTCAGTTGTCAAGTCGGAGCACCCAAAGCTGCAACCACTCTAGTCTCATCTGTTCCAGAACCCACAATTCAGTACCCAACCGGCCAACCCAATCCAGTGAATCCACCACCCTTTCAGGAAACCTTAGCTTTTTCATCAGCCTACACCTACAGCACACAGAATAAACAAAACATAAACCAAGAATCTGAACATAAACAAAGTCTATTGAAGGACATGAGCCACGTCTTGCTATGAATTTCAAATGTCAGGTAGCAGTTGAAAGAATGACGTAGAAGCTTGTTCAAAGAATTAAAAACCTGTAGATTTTTTTTTTTTGGTGGTGATGGGGGGACCCAGCGCTCATCACCTGTAACTTTCTCTTTATTTTACAAAATCTCTAGGCAAAAAATTATTTGGAGAATTATTTTATTATTATACCTGACAACGGGGGATGGATTCTTCTTCTGGGGGGCGGGGGGAGAAAAATATTTGAATCCTCTTCTTTCAGGCCAGCAGTTGCCAGTGAAGGTTCCAACTGATTCAGTTGGTAAGGTTTCAATGGGAATCGATCAATTCCAGCCTTCACCCGGGTTCGGAAGGTCATGAAGCCGATTTCTCGTCAGATGAGCTGCAGTGAAAAATTTATGATGCCGGAAAGACATGGCATTCAAAGAGAGTTTTTACTGATCAAATTCCATCAGTGAATTTTACCGATCGATTGGCACAAGTTTTTCGGATATCACTCTTTCCAGTATTATAGTCGAACCCTAAATCATATATTATTTGTATCAACCTAGACAGTGTGAGCTAGACTTGCCTAAATTTATTTAGCCTGCTTGCTCACTGAACACCACAGGTGACAAATTATACTGCATCTCCGTCCCTCAAGACCAGATCACTGCAGAAGGCAATTAAATCTGGGCTTTGTAAAAACAATGATAGATTTTCTTTTTCCTCATTTTTTTTTTATCCTTTTCTCACGAGTAAAGGGGACAACACATGGGACATGTGGCGTACTATAATTACTATATTATTTAGGCTCTTCCACCCATGCCAAATCATACCAGTCTGTAGTGTTTAATAGTTCGATTTTGATCTGTAACAATCGATGGCAATTTGATATTGATGAGTAACAATGGCTACAGCTAACAATTCAATACTCCAAATAAACTAGACGATTTAAACATATAATTAAAAAAAATTAATGTTAATTTAAATGCTAATGAGATTTGCATTTATTCCCCAAGCATATGGTGCATATTTTAATTGTCGATGCCATGCCATGCGACCAATTCAGCAATGGGGCTGTTGGCAGTCCATAAAAATTGCCTGTCGGCCCGTGTTATTAGTAGAATTTATAAAGTTTTTCGGGTTTGATACCTTTCCAATATCATCAAAAAAAAAAAAAAAAAGGCCTTAAGAGATACACCGTGTCCATGCATTTCCTAAACGTTCTCAATTCCCATTACGCATCTTTAGATCAATTTGCTGATACAGATTGCATTTTGCAATACCAATGCGATATTGCGATGCTTTGAACCTGATTGGGATAACAGTCAAAAGATGCATGATCTATTTGATTTTTTTTTCGGTAGACGATGATTCTCTTTGATGTGTAACTAAATGGGGGACATCAATGAAAATATGGGTGTAGTAGAGCATCTACACAAGAAATTTTGAGTCCTCTAAGATCTAAACATTCTATTTATCCATACAAGGATGCTTCCATAATAACATAAACAACCCAGTGAAAAAATAAGAAAAAAAAAAAAAGAAGGCCACAAAATTGAAGGGAAATGATGCAATTGACAAATGAATTCGCAGAAATCACTGCAGCCCCAAACCATTAGAACCACAGATCAAGACATTCAAAAAGATTTATAAGCATGAAAAGATAATACACAGAGAGATAAACAAGAAAAATAGAAGACCAGATAGGTTGTGGTTGAATGCTTTGAAAAAGAAAACCGTTTTAATAATCTTCACCTTCCTCTTCGTCATCGACACCCTCTGCCCCAACTTCCTCGTAATCTTTCTCAAGAGCAGCCAAATCCTCACGGGCTTCTGAGAACTCCCCTTCTTCCATACCTTCACCAACGTACCAATGAACAAATGCCCGCTTGGCATACATGAGATCAAATTTGTGGTCAATCCGTGAAAACACCTCCGCCACTGCGGTATTGTTGCTGATCATGCACACAGCACGCTGTACCCTGGCCAGATCACCCCCAGGGACCACTGTTGGAGGCTGATAGTTGATCCCACACTTGAAGCCGGTTGGACACCTGAAATTTCACCCGAAGCCAATATCTCTAGTCAAGATACAGAGGATATGAAAGATGATATAACTATCTAACAGTTGCCAATAGTTACAAAATTCCTCTATCCACTCTGACTACAAGACACACACCAAGGTTTAGAACCTATCATGTGGTTGCTCATACCAAAGGGATCTTTTATGTAGAACAATCCTTTTTTTTTTCCATTATGGATAAACAAACTACCATTAAGCACAGGATAGAATACAGTAGATTGGATGGCACTGTCATCAACCGTGGGTTAGTTCTTTGGTGGACTGGAAGGTGAAGGCCCTTTGGAGGTCTGCCCTTCCATTATAAGGTGTGCCATATGTCGCACACGACATTACCTTGGTGCATGTGTGTGTGTAAATGAACACTCACCAGTCAACAAATTGAACAGTCCTCTTGGTCTTGATGGTTGCAACTGCAGCATTGACATCCTTGGGAACGACATCTCCCCGATACATCAAACAGCAGGCCATGTATTTCCCATGCCTTGGGTCACACTTGGCCATCATGCTTGATGGTTCAAAGACTGCATTTGTGATCTCAGGAACTGAAAGCTGCTCATGGTATGCTTTCTCAGCTGAGATAACAGGGGCATATGATGAAAGCATAAAATGGATCCTTGGATATGGTACAAGGTTCGTCTGGAACTCTGTAATGTCAACGTTGATGGCTCCGTCAAACCTCAAGGAAGTAGTTAAAGAAGAAATTATCTGAGATATCAAGCGGTTCAAGTTGGTGTAGGTTGGCCTCTCAATATCCAAGGCTCTGCGGCAGATGTCATAAATAGCCTCATTGTCCAAAAGAACAGCCACATCTGTGTGTTCAAGAAGGGAATGAGTGGAAAGCACACTATTGTAGGGCTCCACAACTGCTGTAGAAACCTGCAGTTACAGGTGATAGAACCGAATCTGAGTTGAACATGGATAGATAAAGCAAATAACAAGAGGCTTCTAGACACATATAATCATCAATAAGATGGCTTTATTCAGTGGTATGATGAGTACCTGAGGTGAAGGATATATGGTGAATCCAAGCTTTGATTTCTTCCCATAATCCACTGATAAACGTTCCAAGAGCAAAGAGCCCAAACCAGAACCAGTGCCACCACCAACAGCATTAAATACCAAAAAACCTTGCAAACCGGTGCAGTTGTCGGCTAGTTTCCTTACCCTGTCGAGGCAAAGATCTACGATCTCTTTCCCCACTGCAAAAGATAATCTAAACCACTTTAAGTCATTGAAATTAACATGGTAAAAGGGGCGCAATTGTAACACTTGAAGAATGGTAATTTACCAGTATAATGCCCTCTTGCAAAGTTATTAGCAGCATCTTCCTTGCCAGAAATAAGTTGCTCTGGATGAAAAAGTTGTCTGTAGGCCCCAGTCCTAACTTCATCAATGACTGTGGGTTCCAGATCAACAAATATAGCTCTAGGCACATGCTTTCCAGCACCAGTCTCACTGAAGAAGGTATTAAAAGCATCATGTGCAACACCTACTGAAGTGTCACTGCAAAGACAGAAACTTGTAAGATTTTCAACTGTAAAACTGCACTGAATCCAATGGAATTTGAATGACTACTTCCCCTGTGGGCTGTGGATGAACTCCACCTGATATTATGGAATAGAATGCCTATATAACATTTCCAAATTCAAGCTCTACCACATAAATGGTCCCAAAACATTAGAATTCTTAAAATTACTGAATTGATCCCAGACAGTACACACTAGAACCATCTCCAATGGCAATAGAAGATAACAAATTCACGAATAATAAAATCATAATTTTGTTTTTTGTTGTGGACGCAACAAAAGCATAGAATTCGCGGAAAAAAAATGAAAATTCTGCAGGACGAACTTGAAAATAAAAACTGCGAAGAAGAACTAGGACAAAATTGCAGTAGGGCAAGAACCATGGTTCCTAATACTTTCAAAGAAAAACACAAATCAGTAAAATGAAAATACCGAAATTTGCATGAAAAATAGAAAGACAAAAATACCCTTATAAGAATGAAAACAGGTAATAATGTCCTAATGATCTATCGCTCTTAAACTCATAAAATGCACGTTTCAGTCAGACCAGGACGAGAAAATCACATTCGGTTTATTTCATGGATGAGGACCACAAAATTCATATAAACAACGAATCAAATAGTACAAAAATATGAGAAAACAATTCTAGAAATATCTAAGGAACAAAATGAATATAGATCAAGCAATTACGCTCCAAATGCATATAGAAAATTTTCCTAGCTAAAAAGAAAATCAATAAACCCATTCATAAACAATAATTCAACATAATAACAAACAAAAAAATGGAACAACTTTCAAAATAAAAGAACAGATCAATAAAACTAGACTATGTATAATTTGATCGGGTTGATTGTATACTTTTTTGATCGATCAATCAAAATACATCCACGATCTGAATCGATCAATCAAGATAATATCATATATCCATGATCTGAATGTATTCAAACAAGTAAGACTATAAAATTCAACAATTATACAAAAAAAGGGCCAAATGAATGAAATCCAGGTGCAAAATTTTGGAAAACACGTTTTACATGCGTAAGCACCATTAATAAGTAAATAAAATCAGCAAAATAAAAAAAAAGAAGAAAAAAACCAACCTAATTCAGGTACAAAACTCTTCAAATAACAACAGAAAGTTCGAATTTCGAAAAGAACACAGAATTCACTTACCTAGGCATCATCCCATCGGGTTGAATTTCATGCTCGAGGCAATACAATTCCCAGCAAGAATTCCCGACCTGAATCCCCGCTTGTCCAATGTGAATGCTGATGATCTCTCTCATTTTTCCCCTTTCTCTTCCCTCTCTCTCGCTGTATCAATCCCTCAATCTCCCCAAATAATAACGAAATCCCTCTCTCTCTCTCTCTCTCTTATCACCGTTATGTTATAGCACCAAAGAGAGACGAGGCGGTGGAAAAAAAATCGGTAGCCCTATGGCTTTGTCCCTATGGCTTTAATCACATTTCATAAATCTTTAAATCCGACGGAGAGGCCCCGCCACCTCCCTTGGCGCCAACTATCATGGGCCCCACAGGTCGGTAGATTGTCGCTTTTTTCTAGCGCTTCTGAATGACCAAAATACCCTTTTCGTTCTTTTCTCAGTTTTGGCCTTAACTTCCGGAATAATCTTGTAATATGTGTACATTTGCTGGGGTATTAGAGGTAATCGACCAAAAACTGTCGGACGCCACTTCGTCGGCCATGAACAATGCTTATCTGTTCGGTGTCGTTCCCCAACCAGATTGCAATATCTTACTCCAAAAATTACAAGGACGTTTCGACATGCATCTCTATAATTAGGAGGGAAAATTGGGGGTATTTTTTGTCAAAACAGGTAAGGGATCACGTGAAAGCGGGACCTTAGAGCAGTGGTACAGCTAAGCTCCACCTGGTAATCCACACAAGAAGAAGAAGAATCAACATGAACGATTTTCGATAACAATCAAGGGCGGTTGTGGCTTCATCTTCAGAAGTTGAACCGAAGGAAAGGTTTTGTCGGGTTCAACCCGGTTCGTGGTGAAACCAATTAAGCTGTGTTTTGTTTGAAAGAAAAAAAAGGAAGGGAACACAACCATGTCAGGGGGATACAAGCCGAATTGGATTTGGTCCTCACATCCCCTTGCAACTGTGCATTGGGAATATCTCCGATGAATAAAAATATACAAATATGAAGATGTCACTCCTCAATGCATGGCCGCAAAAGAATGTACAGACGGTGTGAGGACCATATCCGAATTCATACAAATCAGAACCAATTGAAAATGAACCAACTTTAGGGTGCAATTGAACCGAGTCAAGTTTAACTTTAGTATGACTTAGCTCAATTCAACCAAGGTTCAAAAAATTGTTATGTATTGGCCTGTGTCAATAGATACGTATCATATTGGGCCCTTCTTAATACGCCCCTACAGAAATTGTATTGGGTTAGGGCCTGGTTCAGAAGGTAATCGGGACTTAAACTGGCCCCTCTGAACCAAAATCGGGAAAAAAACAGTAAACGTTAAAAAAAAATGATTGATACTGGCTGATACGCCTTATCGATACTTTGAACCTTGAGTTCAACTAATATATAATTATATATGTATATCTAAGTTTGAGTTCTTTTTTTGTATAATTACCAAATTTAACCTAAGACTCAAATTTGATTAGCATTTAAGAGTCCGTTTGGTTTGTAGTAGGAATTGGAATTGAAATCCTTTGAGATCGGGATTGGAATGATCTATTCCCATAATTTATTTGGTTCAGACAATAATGAGATTTCATTCCCAAAGGAGGAACAGTGAATAGTTATTCCCTCAAATTGAAGACTGTCATTCTTGTAGGAACGGGGATTTCAATTCCGCCCAACCAAACTGTTGAAATCAAAATAGCCCATTCTAATTCTGAGTCCAAACTTCTATTTCCACAAGCCAAATGGGTACTAACTTGAATTGAGCTTAATTGAATTTAAGCCTAGATAGTTAGATTAAGGCTCGATCAATTTTTACCTCTAATCGTTTTGCAAAATACTAACCAATGCATGGGCTTAACCCGGTTCACTCGGGTCGTTTCATTTTGGTTGGTATTAAGCAATTCCAACCCAATAATTGTAAAGAACCCAAAGAACTAGTTGCGATGGGATGGGTTTATTTTGTGTCAGTAGAGGAGTTATCTAGTTAGTATGTTCATTTATTCATCAGTTCAATAATACGATCGTACAGCATGTGACGTGATAGAAGGGGACAAGGCAGGCACATGGGGAGGAGAATAAATAGAAGCAAGTGGAAGCTGCTGCTGCTGCTATTTTTTTTGAAAATGGCTAGGCTGTCCCCCCTTGGGAACTGGGAACTATCCACTCTCATATTCTTACTTCTTTTAAGGGAAAATCTATGATGATAGAAATACATGATATTCGAAAGGCTTTGAATAATTATAATGTTTCAAAAAAATCAATCTGATTGATTTTTAATTCTTAATTGATTATAAGTTTTTTCAGTATCATGTTTTTCCGGCATCATTTTTTTTTCTAAATAGGTGATTTTTTGAATACTTTGAAAGTGAAACCTGTATTCCCCTTTCGACTTCAGTGCTTTGTAAGGCTGTTCATAAGAATGTCCAACCCGATTAAACCGACCTAATTCGAGTTGGCCGTGTTTTCATCAGTATCAGTTGGTTTTGGGTTGGGCAAATATATAAACCGATATATCGGGTTAGTTTCGGTTTTCTTGTGTGAAAATCGAAACTAATTCGACCTGAACCGAACTAGTAAGATTAGTTCGGTAGTTCTTAGTTTGAGTAATTTTCTATAACTAGTCTTTTACTAGAACTAGAAGACCCATTAGGCAATCTATCCTAGTTTTTAACTTTCTATAATATTTTACACCAAATAGACAACCCATTAGGCAATTATAATTAGAATTCAATTAAGTGTCATTTTGTACAGGAGTAAAACTGAAACCGACCCAACCCGACTCAAATCGACCAGGTTGATTTGGCCTATCAGTGGGTCGGTTTCGATTTCTACCTTAGGTAACCCGACCAGATCGGGTCAATTGGGAAAACCCTAATAAACTGACCCAACCCAACCCATGAACACCCCTATTGCTTTGGTTCTGATTTATTTGTCTTACTTCTAACCAAAACAAGACAAATCCTATAAATCCAATACCCTCAAATTAATTGTAGATCTGCGAACTAGATCCCACCCCTCATATTTTGGAGGGATGCCGACTGACCATAGGTTGCGAGAAATAGAATGAATAAGATTAACAGCTCGATAGATCTGCATGATTGTAACTTGCACCTTACATTTTTTATACATTTTATGGTGAGGTGTTCAATCAACATGAACTCTGAGACACCTAAGAAATTCGGCATTGGAGCTAAGACTGTTTGTGAGTTTATGTAGTTATAATAAAATTGGACCAATTCGATTTTTTTTTTTCAAATTCGGATCTTCAAAAAAATTGGATCTCATTAAGATTTGAGACCAATTAAATTATACTTAGTCATTATATATATATATATATATATATATATTCTACTAGTTACTTGGTGTAGGCATCCCAATGTACCCATGATTCAATTCAGGTCGCGAAAAGAAAGAAAAGTTTGTTTAATTTTTACAACTTGTGGCATGTGTTTGCTTTTAGTCAAAGTATGTGTGATAGAGGGTAATAAGGGTTGTGGTTGGATTCTCCTTGGGTTGACAAGAAAATACTCTTCTCCTTAATCCAAACCATCTGATATGTAATTTTGAATCTTTGATCTCTATGTTTGACAAAAATGTGCTGAGGGGTCTACCATTTCTAGGGGGGCATAGGTTCCATAATAAGCAGTTTGGCTGTATCCATCATAAACCCTCCAATAATGATTTAATATCATTGAATTGCAAGACTGGTGAGAGGTCAGAACACATATGTAGGCCACTCTGGAGTGGAATGCATGATTTGATTTAGCAAAGTTTATTATATAATAAAAGCTAAATCAAGATTAGTGTAGGATATCGATCGACCACCCGTAAGAAGTAATGATTTATTACAAGTTGAAGGGTCTGCTGAAAGATTTAGAATAAAACAAAATATAACATAGTCTGAAGTATCAAGGAATTAATTGAGATATGGCATTAAACAGAATGAAATGAAAAAACGGAATTTATAATTGAGACAAGGCTTAAATGATGATCCGATAACCACCTTTCTCTCTTTACCTCAAAAAAATCCAATCGCCAGATCTCTTCCTCTTCATCCCTAGCCATATGTAGAATAGAAAATCTGGCATATTTTATATTCAAATATATGCATAGAATATTAAAATATGTATATATCAGAATTTAAGCTTTCTTTTTAATTATAGATATCAACTTATTTAATATAAACATGTTTTAAACTATCAAAATATATAAATATCCCATATTTTTCCATAGTTCCTTTATTCATATATTATATGTTTTGACCTAAAATATATATTAATAATTAATAATTCGTACAGAAAGAATTTAAGAAATAAAAGGATTCAAAAGGCATGTTGTCACAGCGTGTATGACCAGAGACTTCTTAAATCACGAAGTGACAAAATTAAAACAACGGTTTGGTACAGATAATGGAGATGTCACATATTGTCACTTATATTCTAAGGCACTACTGATGGGCCGATGGCATCGGGCTTCAAGCAGTTTGGAACAGTCTGGGCTGGTGGGCTGAATTTTCAGGTTTTAAACTTTTGGGTAGAGGTGTCAATTGGACTGGATTTGGTCCAATCCGACCCAGTCCAATGTGAGTCTATTTATAAATGGATTGGATTCAATCCAGTTCAAATTCAATATAAATTAAATCCAATCCAATCCATTAAAATGTAAATGGATTGGATTGGATCTAATCTAAATCAAATAAAATATTAAAAATTATAAAAATGAAAAAAATCTAAAAATTACAAAAATATATCCTTTTGGTATTGAAAAAGTACTTTTATAAAAGTGCTTTCACAAAAGTGCATTGATAAAAGTACTTTTACAAAAGTGTTTTTCTAAAAGTATTTCCATATAAGTGTTCTTTTATAAAAACGCTTTCGTAAAAATGTTTTTTCATAGAAGTGCTTTTGTAAAAGTACTTTCATTAAAAGTGTTTTCATAAAAGTAATTTCATTAAAAATGTTTTCATAAAAGTATTTCCACAAAAGTGCTTTTGTAAAAGTGCTTTTGCAAAAGTACTTTCATAAAAATGATTTTATGCCGACTTCAATTTTGATTGGTTTCAAATTGGGCAAGGCCACAAGGGTTTGGCCCCATGATCGGATTATCGGAAACTTGATTCAAGTCTAATTCAGACCAATAAGAATATGAAGAAATTTATTTTGGATTGGCTCAATCCAATCATTATAAATTTATAATGGATCGTCCAAATCCAATTTAATAAGATTTGGATCGGTTTTGGATCCAATCCAAAGCCGATCGATTGAAAGTTTGAC